CCCCCCCTGCCTGTCCTCAAAAACCCCACCCCGGGTTCTGCTTAAATCAACCCCGAAAATCCTAGGATTGAAAAAAAAAAAAAAAAAAAAAAGTGAAGTTTTTTTAAAAAAGAGTGAACATTAAAAGGAATGAAAAATTTACCTATAGGCTTATCCCAGAGACAACTGCTATTAACATATTGGGCTGTTTCTTGCCCATCTTTTTCCTATGTATACTTTGGTTTGTTTTTCATTGATTTTACATAGGTGTGATCATACTGAATGTCATACAACTTTATGTCTTTAGGGAATAATGCAGTTATTATAAATATATAATGCATTCCCATTTCAGGAAAAAAAGGCAAATGTTCATTAATTCTACAAGTATTTTTGAGCTCCTGACATGTACCAGGTGCTGGGCTGGTGCTAGGAATCACCCATCAGACTCCCCAGGAATAACCACTATAAAAACATGTTCTTCTAGCCTTAAAAAAAAAAATCCCTCTTCCTAATATATCAGAAGGGCATGTGGGTGCATGTGCAGTGAGGTGTATGTCATTTCTAACTTGTATTTGTCGCCTTGACATTGTAACATAAGCATCTGTCCCTGTTGTCATGAACTGTTTATATGTGTCATTTTAATGGCTGTATAAAAGTCCATCACGTATCATAGGTTATTCAACTGTTCCCCTATTTATGAAAGACTCCAGTTCTTTTCGATTTTTCTTTATTACAAATAATGCTATGATAAACATCTTGATCCGCAAAACCCAGTTGGGTATTTCAGACTATCTCTTTAGCGTAGGCCCGATGAACGTTTTAAATGCTATTGATATACACCCTGTTCTTAAAAATTACTTGTTTTTACCCTGCCCTGTTCCCCAAAGGCTTGGAGGTAGCTTTCAAAAATGCATATAAAAGAATAAAATAGTTAAGAGTGACAGTAAAGGGGAAATAAGGGCAGAAAAGTAATGCAGCCCAAAATCAGATGAGCACCACAATGGGCATAGAGTTCTCTACGGCCCGCCTCGAGCGAGAGGCTCACATTGGACTAGAAGCTTCCAGGTATCAAACCAAAGAGGGAAATGGTAGCTCCAAAATCCACAGTTACCAAAATCCACGAATAATCCACATGTTCAGAAGCAGCTGAGTTGTTCGGAGATACACATGGTTCACTGACATGCAAAGCTCCTTCCCCCATCCACACCTCCAACCCCGCCCCCCCATGACGTTCTCCCCAGCTGCCCACCAGGGTGTCACCTCCAACCATCCTCACCTTTGGCCAAAAAAAAGGTCAGTGGAATTAACTGGACTTTCCTTGCCTGAGTGACCTCTCTCCCTGGACAGAACATGTGTTTTCGTAAATTTTGATCCTTGGTGTGTTTCCAAAAGGACAGAGCTGTCTGACTGTGAGTATAACTTGAGTTCAGTTTGTGAGTTGGGAAGATGACAGCACCAAATCTTTCAGGCTCTGTAGATACCAAGTAATAAGATTAAGAGCCCTCAAGAACTTTTAAAAATGAAAATGCTGGGCTTCCCTGGTGACACAGCGGTTAAGAATCTGCCTGGCAATGCAGGGGAGACGGGTTCGAGCCCTGGTCTGGGAAGATCCCACATGCCGCGGAGCAACTAAGCCCGTGCGGCACAACTACTGAGCCTGCGCTCTGGAGCCCGCAAGCCACAACTACTGAGCCCGCGAGCCACAACTACTGAAGCCCGCATGCCTAGAGCCCGTGCTCCACAATGAGAGAAGCCCTCGCACCGCAACGAAGAGTAGCCCCCGCTCGCCGCAATTAGAGAAAGCCCGCATGCAGCAACGAAGACCCAGTGCAGCCAAAAATTTAAAGAATAAAAAAAAAAAAAAGAAAATGCTTTCTTACTAATAGTACCACATTTCTAAAACATTTCATTCAGAAGTTTACATTCAAACTAGCAGATGCTTGGGCCCTGCCAATGAAGTTTTGAAATAAACATCCTTAATCCTGCCACTCCTGTTGGCTCAGTGTCTGTCCCAGGGAGTGTGCCCCGTGGGGCCTGAGCTTCGGTAGCCAGGGGGGTGGAGAGGGGGTCTGCTACAAAAATTTGGCCCGGGGGTCCCACAGCCTTGGGAGGTTGAGGTGAGGCAGTCTCCTAAGGCACATGCACAGTGTTAGAGCTGTACTTTCTCTTGGTGGAGACTAAGCCATTCGGCCCAGCCCTGGTTCCCTGGAGTTCTCACCTCTGCTTGTCTTCTGGCCGAGGGTGCTTGAGGTTAAGAGCCAGTCTTGTTCACTTGGGAGCTGAGGGAAGCTGACCTCTGTCTACTGGGCCTTCTCCACTGTCACAAGGATACGCATGTCTCGCTGAATGCCACCCCCATCACCCCTTCTTGGGTGGGGAATCCAGAAGTCTGCCCCTTACCTCCAGGTTTACAGGTCGCCAGCTTCAGCTTTCCTCTGTCCCCATTGCCTCCAGGACAAACTGAACCCCGAGGGACTCCGCCCAGCACCGTCTGACCTTTGCCAACCTCTCTCCTCTCACTGCTCTCTGAGAATCTCAGACTTTAGCCCGGCCACACTGGGCACTTCCACCTACCCTTGGGTCCTTGCTCCATCATGCCTCTTACTGATACGTCCCCTGTCCCTTTTCCTCCAAGGCCCAACTGTGATGCCGCCTCCTCTGTGTGCTCCCAGCGCGCCCCGCAGATCTCTGTCTTGACCCAGTTCTTGATTCCCTTAAGACCTGGATGTGCCTGTATCTTACCCAGCCTGTGCCATGTGGGCTCGGGGCTGTCTGTCTGTGTCTGTCTCCCATTTAGACCACGAGACCCTCCGGAGTAGGTACGACCTGGCTTGGCCCACTCATCACCCCCAGCGTGGTGGGTATTTGACAATACCCACCTGGAATAAATCTGCTACTCGTTGTGTAGTTCAGCTGCCTGGTGAGCACGGGGGGCTGTGAGATGGACTATTTCTGTCGCTTTCCCAGGAACAACTACTTGGCTTCTCCCTCTCATTTCATGGACAAGAATCTCTCATTTTAAGGGCAAGGATCTTTTCCTATTTCACTCGCCATCACAGACCTTGGATAATCTTGTTCAGGGCTCATCCGCCTGAAAGGGTCCACAGAGCTGCCCGTTTGGAGGGATTTGGAGGAACCTTCTGCCCACGCATGAGTGGCTGCTTCTCTCATCACCTTGGAGGCCTGTCCCCATCATCCCAAAGGGCTGCTCCTAGCCCAGATAGAGAGGGAAGTCTCTCGTGTCCTGATGGGCACAGGGCCACCCACCCAACAGCTGTCTAATTTTACAGGCCCATGCCCCAGCGCCAGCTTTCAGGCTGCCAGATCTCAACTTGACACCTTGTGCCTGTCAACAGCCTGGCTGGTGCCTCCGCTCCAGGCCAGAAACCCTTTTTCTCAAGGTTAAAAGTAGCCCACCTTTGACAAGCAACATTGGCTAAATTCCTGGCTCCTTAAAAGGGAAGCTCCTTCGTTATCGTTTGCTGGTGCTTATTTGGCCATGGGGCAGGAGCGGGCCCTACGTCGCACCCTGTGGACCAACAGGAGGGTTTGTGGTTGAAGGTGCGTTGCTGAACAGTCGTTATTAAAATAGCCGTCTCTGAAAATGTGTGTGGGAGAGGAGGGCCTCCAGTCTGTTGGCCAGTTTGCACCACGGCCCATGTGGCTGTGCAGCTTGTCAGCCCCCGCTGGTCAGCCCCAGAGGCGACAGTGTGACCCATCCCCCATGCAGCGTACTCCTTAACTTGTGTGCAGCGAGAAAGCTGACGAAATGACAAGGACACACACCAATTATTAAATGCCCGGACTTGTGTCTTTAATATAGGGGTGACGGTCCAAAGATCGACTTGGCGGGCAGTTCGATATCCGGCATCCTGGACAAGGACCTCTCGGACCGCAGCAATGACATCGGTGAGTAAGGAGAGCATTCTCGCTTCTCTTTGCAAAACTTTAAAAGAACCACAGAGCTTGATTTGCCCCTTCCACCAGCCTGATGAGAACGAACACAACCATTTAAATGCAAGGCTAACAACCCTCAGTTGGTTTTAGATATTGCAGTCTTGTAAAGATGGGAAGTAATGGTGGTTTCCACGTTAAAACAGAACGCCTGGGATTTTTACTCTCCCCGGCCTTAGGAAAAATTCCTTGCAAGGTCTAATGAAAAGAAATGTTGGGGCTTCCCTGGTGGCACAGTGGTTGAGAGTCCGCCTGCCGATGCAGGGGACACGGGTTCGTGCCCCGGTCTGGGAAGATCCCACATGCCGCGGAGCACCTAGGCCCGTGAGCCATGGCTGCTGAGCCTGTGCTCCGCCACGGGAGAGGCCACAACAGTGAGAGGCCCGCATACCGCAAAAAAAGAAAAAAAAGAAATGATGAACAGACCTTTTGGAGAAGTGGGCATTAGCACTTTATATTCATATTTTCCAGCAATTTATGTATTTAGTCTAAAAAGGTGAATGGGTGGACATGCAGCGTGGCGGAATTCACTATAGACACAGCACTAAGTGTTTTGACTTTGAGTTAAAAATGAGCTTTGATGCGGTAATTGCCACTTAGTTCAGTACGTGAGTGAGTTTTCCTGAGGTCAGGATACCACCATGTGACAGATGGGAAGGTAGCTCGAGTCCGTGGGAAAACAAGGCAGAGGGCTTTGGGGGGATGTGCGTGGATGGAGTGCAGTCAAGTGTGTGCTGGTTGAGGCCTCTGTTGGTGTGACAGGGTGACAGCCCTTTTAAGAAATCCCGATTCAGGAAAAAAAAGAAATGATGAACAGACCTTTTGGAGAAGTGGGCATTAGCACTTTATATTCATATTTTCCAGCAATTTATGTATTTAGTCTAAAAAGGTGAATGGGTGGACATGCAGCGTGGCGGAATTCACTATAGACACAGCACTAAGTGTTTTGACTTTGAGTTAAAAATGAGCTTTGATGCGGTAATTGCCACTTAGTTCAGTACGTGAGTGAGTTTTCCTGAGGTCAGGATACCACCATGTGACAGATGGGAAGGTAGCTCGAGTCCGTGGGAAAACAAGGCAGAGGGCTTTGGGGGGATGTGCGTGGATGGAGTGCAGTCAAGTGTGTGCTGGTTGAGGCCTCTGTTGGTGTGACAGGGTGACAGCCCTTTTAAGAAATCCCGATTCAGGGACCACATTTCTTTCAGCTTTACATCTTTTGTTTGTACCCGTCATGGTCAGAAGTTAGCGCTCTCATATTCTACATGACAGAGAGGGATACATTTTGGACTTGGCCTTTCATAAGTTAAATTTTTTTATTTTGAAATAATTAGAGATTCACATGCAGTTGTAAGAAACAGTGCAGAGAGAATCACATACCCTTTGCCCGGTTTCTTCCAGCAGTAGCATCTTATGAACTATAGTGCAAGGTCACAAGCAGGATATTGACATTGATACACCCCACCAGACTCCTCAGTTGTAGTGGTACTTATGTGTATTTAGTTCTCTGCAGTTTGGTCACGTGTAGGTTTGTGTATCCACCACCACAGTCAAGATACAGAACATTTCCCTCACTGCTAGGATCCATCATGTCGCCGTTTTGCAACCACTAACCACACGCCCCTCCCCACTCCTCTTCCCTAACCTCTGGCAGCCACTGTCAAGGAGTGATTTGTCATGGAAGGTTCCAGCATGATTTGCACTGGCCGCTCAATTTAGAAACAAATGTCCGACAGTTGGCAGGCCTCGTAAGAGAATGCTCACTAGGGCGCCCAGCATGAGCATTCTCATCACCTGGGGTTACTCTTTTTTGGGTGCAGTTTTCTTCTGAACCTGCTAATAGAGTTGCATCTTTGCAACTGCTGATCTGCAGTCTCTGGTCTGATCTTATGGCAGCTTGGGAGTAGGACACGTCATGACCGTAAACACCAAAAGTGTTTGCCCTGGTTCCAGAAACTGTTTTACATCCTCACTTAGCCTTTGAGAAGCGCAGTCAAGAAGCGTGACCAGGAGCTTCTGACAGCTTGGGCTGATGCAATAACAGAAACACTAGCCTGCTGTAGCTTTGGACTTGGTTAAAGGGCAGAGAAGAGCAGAGCAGCGATTGGCCGTGAATGAGGAGGAATCACCAGAATGAGCCTGATTAAGTTCTGGTTTTACTGCTGTGGTTCAACATTTGGGCCCCATTTTAAGGCAGGCTGGCCCGTTGGCGAAGTGACAGTGAGGGTCACACGGGGCCCGCCACAGGAAGGGAGGTGTCACCCGCCTCCAGGATGCACAGGGCCGTGCCTCGCTTGTGAAGAGCGTTGGCCTTTGAGCCTTGTTTTCTTTGGGTCTGGAGATGGCTGAGGTGGCTGTCACGAAAACACTGACAAGCTGGTTGGGAAACGTTGGGGACGTTGATGGGGGAGGGTTAGCCTATGGAAGCTTTTCGTACTGTGTATGTATCTGGGCACCCAGAAAGAGATGCTGAGGTGTGGCTCACTCTCATTTTGCCAAGAAGACATTAATCCCAGAAGACTATAATTCCTGAAGCTAATAATTTAGCGTATATATTATTTGCATTGCCAGAAATGATGATTGGCAGCCTTGTAAGCAACCCCTAAATCCTTGAGTACCTACTGCCCAAGTGCAAGGTTATACTACTCATACACAGGCCCTGCTTTCCCGGGGCTTTGGGTCTGTTGCGGCCCCTAAGACGGCAAATGGAAAGTGTAACACTGACGGTCTGTCTAAATGCTGACGGAGTGGTAGAAAGTAAGACTGATCAGAGTTCGGGCTGCTCCTTGGTGCCCAGGATGTCAGGGCAGGTTCCATGAAGGGGGACAGACTTACCTGGATCTGGAAGTTGGATTCGCTTCGGTAGAGGCAGAGGCAGAGGCAAGCAGGGAAATCACAGGAAGAGGGCTGATACCTGAGCATAGGTCGGCCTGGCTGCGGCAGAGAGCTTGCGCTGACGTGGAGGGGTGGTGCTGACCCAGAAATGTTAAGTCGGGGCTGGATTGAGTTTGAGAGGGATGGATTGGTAATTTTTTCTGCAGGCAGCGGGAGCTCTTGATGGTTGACACTGAAGTGACATGACCGAGTCTAAAAATTCAGATAATAAGTGATGGAGCTTTGTGGGGCCAATCAGATGCAGGGAAGGTGGGTGTCAGGGAGTCAGGTTATTTGATAGTTCGCCTGAGAGGTAGTGAGAGGGAGCCAGAGTGGAGCTGCTCAGCAGAGGCTTGTAAAACAAGGGGTAGCTGCGCAAGCAGCAATGTGAGAGAATGATCGCTGGTCCTCGGGAACAGATGGGATTTGGGAGGAGGAGAGAATGATTTGTTAGCTCTGAGGTTTTAGGGTTGGGTGACTGATTGGTGGGGGGAAATGACTTGGGTAGAAATAAGCATAGCCGGAGGAGGAACTGGTTTGGGGGGAAACGTGATGAATTTAAGCATGTTGACATTGAGATTTGGGTGGACGTCCCACGTCAGTGCTGGACGAGGACTTGAAGGTGGAGGCTGAGGCCGGAGAGGCGGGCAGAGCTTGGCGTCTGCAGACCTGGGTTTGAGTGCTGTTGATTCTGCCGCTTCCTGGCTGGGTGACCTTCTGTAACTTACACCAGCTCTCTGAGCTTCAGCTTCTTTCTCTATAAAGAGTTCTAACGTCTCTCTAAGCTTCCTCACCTTGTCTTCCAGAATTATGTAAAATCAGTTGATGAGCTGCCAAAAGACAGAGGTGCTTATTATTAATGTTGTTGTTTGCTTAAAAGTGATAAAGTCAAGAAGACAAATAAAATCCTTACCATGAGAAAAGAGAAAGAAGGACCTAGAACTGAAGACTAAACCTTGTGCAAAGCCCTCATGTAAGGGAAAAGTGGGCTCTTGCAACATCACAGGGGCCAACGGAGGAGAGGATGTTAAGCCAAGTGTCTTAGGTCCAGATGCAGAAATGTTCTTTGCAGATATGGGTCGGTCAAGATTAGGACACTGCCAAGGGGCTGGCTCTCTTCAGGGCTGCTTTTGTATATCTACTTTTGTAGCATTTGTTCATTGTTTTGAATCAAGAAGGAAATTATTTGTACCAGAATGTTTTGTTAGTGTTTCAGACAATTGAAGCTGTCCAAATGTGGGCCGCCGCGAATAACAGAATACAGCCTTTGAAAGCCATTGGAAATCATCGTTGTTAGCTATAAATAAATCTGCGTTTCCTCTTAATAAAGCTATAATTTTAAATTATTATCATATTAAATTAGAGAGCATGGCTTTTTCAGATCTCGTGTGGGCAGCTACCAGCATCTGTCAGCCCGAGATAATTTAGAATGAAATCAGTTGGTCCAAAGCTAACTTGTTGATGTCAGTTTGAGATACTGTTTGTATCAAACTATGCGGCCATATTTCAAGGAACATAATAGGAAACATGGATGAGCTCCAACACAGGCCTGCGCATGAATAGAAATGAAAATTAAATTGTCTGGTTTTCTCTTGCTGACGGAAGAATCTCTGTTCCGATTGAATGGGAGATTAGAGGCCGCGAAGTCAAGTGCCATAACATTTACTTTTATTATGTAGTATATTGTAGTTCCCATGGCATGGTGGGATTTGTTGTTACACTTCAATGCTACGGAGATTTTCTGTTCCTTTCACAGTAAAGCACACAGCAACAGGCCTCCAGGTGCGAAGCAGCCTGGGAACTGAGCCATCTAGTTTCAACTAATTGACTTCAAAAAAAAGCCCTTCTCATTCCTCCTAAGTTGCTTGCCTTCTTTGTTTTGACTCTTGTTTTCCGTTCTATTCAAATCTCATCATACCTTTCCCACTTCTGTCTCTTTACATGGACACCACCCCTGTTCACTTGAGGAAGCTGATTTCCCCTCTATCTTTTCAACTGACCCCACAGACCCACACTTCACATGCCAGTCAGTTTGGGGCCAGGTATTACCAGCTTTACAGTCTATGGTCTTAGGATGTGGAACT